TGTTTTGAAATTCTGTATCAGTTTTTATTGTTTTTTCTCTTTAAAATAATTAAAACCAAACATACAAATAATATGATATGTGGTTATGTCTGTCTAGTGATCATAAGTCTTCTAATTCATGAAATCCAAGCTTGTGAGCACAACCAGCAAGTTCATTTTCAGTGTAGTTACATTTTGCTTTTCCAATTTCCCCATCCCTGGCCACATTAAACTACTTGTTGTTCCTCAAACCTTCAATAAGTTTTTTCATGTCTGTGTACCTTTATGCAAACTGTGCTCTTTGTCTTGAATGACCCTTTCATCTCACTAAACTTCCTAATAATTGCCTATTTATCCTTTAAGGTTAAGGTGCATAGTCATGGTCACTATTTCCCCTTGTTTAACTTTCTAAGCAAATATTATGTGTTATTCAGCTCTGCTTGCCCAAAATGCTTAGCATATTATTTGGTATATAGTTGGCACTCAATAAATATTTGTTAAAAGGATGAATAAATCAGTGAATAGATGGAAAGACAAAAGCACTAGTTTTGTAACTGGCTTGAAAGATGAATGAATAAAAGGAATGAATGAAGGCCGTGAAGAACCATGTTATGAATGCTATTTCAACACTGTAATCAGTCTGTTTCTGCAAGACATGTGATCCACAAGCAGCAATGCTGAGCTTCAGTTGGGCATGAAGAATGACAAAACAGCTGGTGTCAGGACTCTCTTCAATACTATAATCTGCACAGATGTTTGCACCATTCCTGATGACATCAGACCATGGTCAGAGCCTCCCTAAGACATCCTCCCAAGTACAGAATTCACATAGCTTATTAAAACCTGAAGATGTGTTGTTTTTATTCTCAGATGCAGAGTTCAGTCTCTTATTAGGAAAGAGATTTCTCAAATAACCTTTGAAGTAAATGTTGCACACCTCAGATTCTCACATGCACTGGGGCTCCATGTTCCTTCTCTTCTTCTGGGGTTTGGCTGTCACTTGCAATTCCTGAAAGGCCTACAACCTTCCATGGTCCAGGACAAGAAGGAGTAAACAGGGACTATTATTTGCTAAAAGCTGAGAACTCATGAGTTTCAAAACAAAACAAAACAAAACAAAACAAAACAAAACAAAACAAAACAGAAACCAATATTTGTGCTGGAATAGGAGAAAAGTGGGAAGGGGGAAAGGATCAGCAGAGAAGATGGCATGAAAGGCAATTCTTTATTTCTCATTTTATCTTGGAAATTGGGAGTGTATCCTTCAGAAGTGCAAAGAAAAGTGAGAGATGGTTGTGCATTCATTCTAATTGTGGGCTGTGAAAAAGTCACAGCTAATTCACTAATGAAAGTCTTTTATCTGGACAATTGTATTTATAAGAGTTTCTTAAATGAATAGTAGGTAAGGGAATTAAACTCTTGAGGCAGTTACCAATATGTGGTTTCAAAGGAAATCAGAAATGGATCATATAAAAAGAAAGACATGTATTTGTCCTGGGTGGGCAGTTGAAAGCCTGCAGATCTTTAAGGGAAACATCCTGAGAATCCAACTACTTATATGATCCTTTCAGAAACACAATAGCTGCTAAGCAAAAAATCAAGGAACAGAGGTAGATAGACCTAGAAGTAGAAAGAACTTGCCAAATATATTAAGCATCTCTGAGATGAGTAGCTCCCATCACCTGTGAATGGAACACTATGGAGAAATTCAGATTATGAATCTTGATACCTTGAGACCAAGCAGCCATCCATTACATAGTGCCAGATTTTCTAAAATACAGGGACATACCTTCTGCCATCTACTTCTCTGATAATCTATCAATTAAGTCTACTTTTAGATGCATAATACACCTTGTATAAGCGTGAATGGAGGTAGTTAAAATTATTATGTCAATCCAAACACACATATCTTGAGTATCTATACTTCTGGGAATAGGCAATCAAATAAAAGACAAATTAACTTAGGATCCTTTCTGTGTAGGTTGCATATACAATCACAAAATGTTAGCAACAGAAAGGCCTTTGGCAAAGTCCACTCTCCCAATTTTATGGTAGGAAAATGGAGTCTCAAAAAAGAGAAGGGACTTGCCTAAGGCCACATT